CAGATCCAGGGGGGATGTCCGCTGACTATGTACGTACACACGCTGCAGCTTTGCATGTGGACGTGTGTCCAATGAGGGAAGGTGAGTGTCTGAATGAGCTGAGCAGGGAGGACGTGGGGAACGATTCTGTTTAGAGAACAGGATGAAAAGGAAGAGAAGACCTGACTAGAGAGTCGTCCCGAGTCCTGTGAGTCAACGCAGGAGAAGTTCCGCGACGAAGGAGCGCCGCTGAGCCGGAGGAGAGGGGCGAGGAGCGGAGCGGAGGCCTGGCGCTCAGTGCCGCTGCCGCTGCCCACAGGGCGTCAGCGCGGAGACAGCTGTGGTCCGGTTCACGGAAGCGTGGTGACGCCAGCAGAGAGCGCCCAGCTCAGGAAGCATCGGCACAGAGAGGACCTTTCTTGGCTACAAGCGACTGATCATATCCTGCATGTATATCCCGCCCCCCTGGTGACCCCCTAGTCACCCTCAGCCCCTTAAGCTGCACCTCATCGGTGCAGACTTCCTGGAACTCTTCTCCTCAGGGCAGAGGCAGCGACTCCTTGTTCTGCGTGCCCACCGACCCGTGCATGCAGCTGTCAGGCCAGGCTGGCTTCTCCCTGGATGCACAGAACGCCACAGAGTGTGTTATTCCGAATAAAACTGAGTCTGAGGCCAAGCCCTCCGGCCCGGAGTATAACCAATTGCTCTCTGTGGCCGCGGGAGTCTCTCCCAGCCTCCAGGGCGAAAGGGAGGGCGGAGGCGCCACGTGCAGGGCAGAGACTCAGGGAGAGCCGCGGTCCAAGTCCAAGTCCGCCTGCCCTGCGAGGGGGGGTCCTCGCTGCTCCTTCCCGGCTTGGGCACGAGTGCCCAGGCGGCGCGGGGGGAGGCCTCCCCTCATGCACAGCGAGGCACACTGCATTGTCACAGAATGCCTGCACCCCTCCTCCCAGTTTGGGGAGCTCACCCCCGCCCGAGGCGAGAGGGAGTTAGGGCCTGGACCAGGGCGGACGCATGCCCTCATGGTAATGGCAGAAATAAGCCCAGTCACGGAAGTGAACTGCAAGCTTCCGCCCCATCACATCTGCTAACACCCCATTGGCCAAAACGAGTCACGTGGCCGAGCTCGCAGGCCCAGTGAGATGCGTCCATGGCAAGGAGAGAGGGCACAGGGGAGGAGGGGGAGAACTGGGACCATCACTGCAATCCCTACAAACGTGTTCTAACTTTATATCCGGAAAAGCGGTACAGCTGGTGCTGTGCAAGGTGGCTGCCAGGGCTCCGGCCCCAGTCCTCCGCTGGTACAGGTGAGGGACACCCCTGGAAAGGGGAGGCGGCTATTTCACCCCGGAAAAATCTCAAAGCATCTTATTGGCTCTGATGGGTCACATGCCCACCTCTGACCAAATCACTAGGGCTGAGGGACCACAGTGTTCTGAGGGGCCACTCCTGAGTCACCTCCCACTTTGGGGGTTGGGGTGGACACGTCTGGACTGAGAGCTGGAGAGGGTGCTCCTCAGAGGAATACCAAGGGTGCTGCCGGAGGGGCCCACTTATATAAGATGGCCCAGGGGCTCCTGAGACGAGGGCTGGAGTGCCCTTCATTGGCACGGGGCATGGTCCCAGAAGACACTGAGGGAGTGGGGAAGTGAAGGGGGAGGGAAAGAAGCCAGTGAGGTGTGTCCCTGAGTGGGGGGACCGGCGCTCCGTCTCTCTGGGACCTCTGGGAGGCTGCTGACCGTGTGTCAGAGCTGCCCCCCGCATTCCCTGAGAAGTGAGGACACGGGTGTTCATCCCCCGATTCCAATCATCGCTGCTGAGGCCTGCCCTGTGGGCATCAACTCTCCATACTGAAAGGCGCGCCGCCCGCCTCCGGGCGGTGCGGGAGGAGGAGCCTGGCCGCTGGGCTCTGAAATCCCTCCGCGCCCGCCGTAGGGCCTGGCCTCCCCAGAGCGGGTCCGAGTGTCCAGACCGGCTGCGTGGTGGCCGGCAGCGGGCTGAGGGGTGGGGCCGGGCGGCGACCGACCACGGGGGAGGTCATGGGAGCGGAAGGCCTCACCGCCTGGCTCTTCCCTCCCTTCCCCCGTGGTCGGCTCCCCGCTTGCCCGCGCTGGGGCTGGGGGTCCATGCGGCCCTTGGGGCCCGGTCGGGGGGACCGGGGCCTGCGTGGGCCGACCGCGGGGCCCCATGGGGGGGGCATTGGCTCCCCAGCCCACGGTGGGAGCCCGGCGTGGGCTGCCGCCAGCCCGCTGCCCCCGGACCGGGCCCAGTGCAGCAGCGGCGGCAGCGGAGTGGGGCGCGTGCCCTAGCTCGGGGAGGCCGCCATGCTGCAGTGCACCGGCCCCATGGCCGGGCCTGCTCCGAGCGGATGCCGCTCCTCCAGAGCTGGGCCGCTCCGCCGGCCGCACCCCGTTTGCTGGGCCTGTGCCGCCAGACGCGCTGGAGTCCCAGTCTGCCCGCAGGCCGGCTGCGGGGGCTGTGCGGGAGGGCCGTCCTGCCTTCTGGCGAGTTCGAGCGGCAGCAGCAGGAGCCGGGCAAGGACTGCGCCCTCCATCTTGCCTTGGGTCCTTCATTTTGGGACGGTGCCATGTGCTTCCTCACGGGAAGAAGCCGCTGCTAGCCACACCCAGGATTTCTCTGGACTAACCAATAATAATCAAGGGAAGTGCACGCCATCACTATGACCACATCCTGTACCGACTCGCGCCTGGCCAATCGGCGGGGCCCACAGTCCCCTCTCCTGCCCTCACTCCACCCCCCTTTAAAACCCCCTGTCCCATCAGGCGTCTCTCTCTCTTGGCCACTGGAGCTTACCGTTGCATCGGTGAGTGTGGCAGGGGAGCCAAACCTAGGTTTGAAATAAATGACTCTTTGCTTTTGCATCGGGCTGACTGGCTCCCTGGGGGTCTTGGGAACTTTGAAATCTGGGCACAACACATACACCCTCTGCTCAGGGGAAGCTGGCCCCTGTGGCCAGAGAATGCCTCGGGCAGAGTCTCCGGTGCTGGCAGCGAGAGGCTGGGACTGGTGAGTGGGAGAGGATATGGGCGGGGCATCGACAATGTCTGCTGCAGAGGGAAAAACAGGTCATGGTGCCAACCAGCTGTTAGGACAGGGGCTCATTTTGGTCTGGGTCCTTCTCTCAAGGAAAGGAGGCCATCGGTGCCACCTCTGGGTAGAGTCCCAGAGAAGAAGAAAGCAGAGGGGGGAAGGGACAGGCTGTGGAGTAGGGCAGATAAGCGGGGTCGTCCAGTGTCCTCACGTGCTGGCTGCGAGGCCTTGGGCAAGTTACTTCACCTCCCCGAGCCTCACCTTACTCATCTATACAATGGGAACACATATGCTGTGTGAAGATTAAATGAGACAATTGCTTATGTCGCTCTAGGCACAGGGTAAGTGTCTAAGGAACGAGAGCTACAGGGCTGCGTGCAGTCTGGAGGAATGACGATTTCCCAAGAGCTGTGTCCTAGTGTCCTGGGACAAGGCAGAGGGAGGGGACCCAGCCAGGGAGTAAGCTGAGTTAAAGACTGAAGACGAGGATGGCACTAACGGGCCAGCAAAGACGTCAGCAAGGACAAGCACCGAGTGTGGCCAGAGGCCCCAGAAGACCCAAGAGTGAATTCGAACTAGGAAGCCACTCCATCCAGGGCTCGATCCCCAGTGTGGGGTGTGCAGGAGGCAGCCAATCAATAATTCTCTCATCATTGATGTTTCTATCTTTCACTCCCTCTCATTTCCTCTCTGAAATCAATAAAAATATATAACTAGTAAAAAAAAAAAAAAAAAGAATTCTCTCTGGGTCCCCAGAACTGCCGGGCCTGAGTCTGCCCATCTCCTTCCTCCCCTCCTTCTGCGCTCCCCTCCTCAAGGCTCTCCAGCCAACCTGGCCTTCAGGTCATCCCTGTAACATGCTAAGTTGGTCCCACCCCAGGGCCTTTGCACTTGCTGCTCTCTCTCCCTAAACTAGTCTTCCCCTCTGTCCTCTTCAGGGTCTCAGCTCCAACGCCTCCCCTTAAGGATACATGCAAGCCACCAGCCCCACTAGCCGAATAGGTCCCTCTTTTTGCTTCCTTCTTGGGGCCTCTTGTTCCCTGAAATCCTTTATCCATTTAGTAGTTTTCCCACCTTCTGGCTGCATCAGGGCTCTTATGTGGCCCAGTGGTTAGTGGCCTATGGAGCCTGGGTTCGAATGCCATACCCGCTGCGACTTTGGGCAAGCTTCCCTCAGAGGTTCTGTGCCTCCGTTTGCCCGTCTGTGAAATGGGTGGGAGTAGCCGAGTTCCTCACTGGGCAGTTTCGAGCATTAACCGAGCTGATGGGGGCCCTGAGCACAGGGTGTCGGGGTACCAGCGATTGAGAACGGTGCTTTACCGTCTAAATTTGCCCGGAGCCCGACATACAGCAGGCGCTCAGGCAACATGTGGCCGGGATGAGCACCCCTGGCACTTAGCAGTCCGTGGGCTGCTGGGGGGGCGCCCAACCCTCAGCCCCAAACGCACTGCCCCCGGGGGGTGGGGGAGGAAGGGGGAAGGGGGAAGGGGGGCGGGCAGGAAGGACAGCGGGAGCAGCACAGGGACTGGCCGCAGCGAATGGCCTCGTCGGGACGGGCTTTCATTCTGAGAGCACCGGGAACTACTGCGGGCTCCCCGAGGGCGCGACTTCACTGCTGCGGGGGAGACCGGGAGCGGGTGTGTGGGGTGGGGTGGGGACGCCCCCAGGAAAGGTCAGCGGCCCGGCTCAGGCTCGCGGGGGCGGAGGGACAGTGGCTAGGACGCGGACTCCGCGCCGTCGGCGGGCGGGGAGGTGCATGCAAATCTGGGGGCGGGCGGGGCGGGCGCGGGGAGGCGGGGCGGGCGCGGGGAGGCGGGGCGGCGGGCGCGGGGAGGCGGGGCGGGCGCGGGGAGGCGGGGCGGGCGCGGGGAGGCGGGGCGGCGGGCGCGGGGAGGCGGGGCGGGCGCGGGGAGGCGGGTCGGGCGGGCGCGGGGAGGCGGGGCGGCGGGCGCGGGGAGGCGGGTCGGGCGGGCGCGGGGAGGCGGGTCGGGCGGGCGCGGGGAGGCGGGGCGGCGGTCCCGCCCCAGGAAAGCCCCGCGCAGCGCCGTCGCCGGGTCACGGCGGGGTCCCTACTTCCCGCTCGGGCGCCGGCTGGGAATGGACCGGAGCGCGCAGGTAGGACGCGGGGCCCGTGCGGGGCGGAGGCCGGGGTTCGCCGGGGCGCGTAGCCGGCGTCCGGGAAGTGCGAGGCCGCCGCGGGTGGGGCCAGGCGCGGTGACCCTGTGCTGCCCCGATCTGCACCCGGGCCGCCCTCGGGCTCCTCGCGGTTCGGAAAGCGGCCGGCTCCGTCCATGGGCAGCCGAGGCGGGGAGCTGGGCGGGCAGGCTGACTCCGGATGCCCAAGCGCCCCCCAAACTCGTGCTCGGACACCCCCCCACCCCCCGCCAAACTCGTGCATCCGAGAGGTCTCTCGGGGCTTAGGAGCGTCGGGGTCTCGGGGTAAGGCGGGTGCTGGGCCACGCAGGCCCGGTCTCTGCGCCCCACCGCGGCCGGGACACGCGCGGCTGGTGAGGACTGAGGGAGAAGGGTTGGGAGAGCCCTGGATACTGAAACATGGATTGCCAGGCCCAAGAATCTGGGGGACGCGGCCTGCCTTCCCCTTTGGGCCTCCTTATTTGAGTGCCGTTGGGTGGACCCAGCCCTGGATGCCTCTGCGCAGGCCGTTCTGAAGCTGCAAGTCTCCGGAGTTAAGTCAGAATGCCTCTCTCCCCGTGCTGTGCACCACGGCCATTTCCAGGTCAGGGCGCGCGGGCACAGGCAGCTTAAATGCCCCCGGGAAGGCGTGGATGAGGATGGGGACCGGGCAGTCTGCCCCAGAGCCCGCCGCCTCCACCTGACAACTATTTGTCAAACCGCCGAATGACGGAATCCTCCGGGATCCGATTACCTGCAGGTTCCCAGGCCCCCTTCCACGAGAGAGGCTCAGTAAACTCAGGAATCTGGATGTAAAAACAAAACCCCGAATCTATATTTGCTATAATCAGGAGGGTCCGGGACCAGGGACCGGTGGCCGATGCTGGGGTTCACATTGCGCCCCCCGACCAGCTCTCACCTGCTTGAGCCCCAGTCCTCTGAGAGCTGTGACCCTGCAGCTCCTCCCCTCTGGCTGGCCTCTCAGGAGCTGGAGCATTTGCTGGGACATCAGCGCCTTTATTAAAACCCTCAAGTCTGTTGGGGAAACTGAGGCTCGGGTGTCCATATGGCCAGGGTGTCCCCCACAGTCCGGGGGTTCCAGAGTCAGCAGAGGCCCTGAACTGGACTAGTCCAACCTGTGATTAGAGGAGGACGCTGAGGCTGGGCTGGGAGGGGCCAACCCAGCCATTCCCCCACTCGCCAGCACTCACAGGGCTCCTCCCGGCACCGCTCCAGTGCTGCTCTGGGCTCTGGTGTTTGCCCTGAGGAGGCCTCTCTCTGGGGAGCGGGGAGCTCAGTGGGGGTGATCAGCTCTCTCTTTTTTTTAATCCTCATCCGAGGATATATTTTCATTGATTTTAGAGAGAGAGAGAGAAAGGGAGAGAAAGAGAGAGAGAAAGGGAGAGAGGGAAACATCAATGTGAGAGAGAAACATGGATTGGTTGTCTCCCGGACACACCCTGACCGGGATGGGACCCATAACCTAGGTATGTGCCCAGACCAGGAATCGAACCTGCAACCATTTGGTGTACGGGACGACGAGCCACCCACCTGAGCCACTTGGGAGGGGTGATCAGCTCTTCAGGGACATGAGACCGGCCTCACGGAGCAGGACCCTGAGCCAGCCGTGGAGGAGGAGCAGAGGGGAGAATGGGAGGGAGGGTCCGCTGAGCAGTGGGAACAGCGTGGACAAAGGCTGGGAGTGTGAAAGGCGGGTGTGGGGTGCTAGGGAGCAGGGAGAAGCCGGGGCGGGGGGGGGGGGGGGAGAAGGTAGGCTTGGCCGTGTTGCAGAAGGTCTCGAGGGCCATGCCGAGGCGTAGGCCAGCGTGTCCTGCCTTTGCCTGAGCCCTGAGCGCCGCCATGCAGATTTCTGAGCCCCACCGGCCTTTGGAGTGGAATCTGGAAGGAGGCCCAGGGAAGGCGGGGGGCGGGGAAAACCACGAGCGAGTCACCCTGGTTACAACACACCCGTTTCCCAGCAGGTGTGGGGTGACCGCAGGGTTTCCACATTCAGAGCAGTGACTCAGTGCGGGTGTTTGCACAGCGGATCCCGGATCCCGGGCTGTAGAAAGCCCAGCAGGCAGGGAGGTTGTCCCCAAGCGTTTTGTTTCCTGATGCTCAGATTCAGAAAGGAGCTGAAGTGAGGTGTCAAAGAGGTGGGAAGAGGACCTTTCCTGGACCCTCCTCTCCTACCCCCTGTCCCCTGTCCCCTGTCCCGCCCCAGGATGGAGGAGTTTGGGATCAAACAGCTCACTGCCCTCAGCTGCTTCCCGTGCACCTGGGAGGGGGCAGGGACCGAAGGCCCCTTGGTGCTTCGTTTCCTCACATTTGGGAAATCGGGCATCTTATGAAACACAGTTTCCAACACAGAGTCCATTCACCATAAACACTCATGTCTGTTGTTGCCGTCAAGAAGTATAGCCTGGCCCTGACCAGTGTCGCTCCGTGATTAGAGCAGCCGCACACGGAAGGGTCATAGGTTCGATTCCTGGTCAAGGGCTCGTACCTGGATTGCAGGTTCAATCCCCAGGTCCTGGTTAGGGCTCGTGCAGGAGGCAACCAATCCATATGTGTCTCTCACATCAATGTTTCTCTCTCTCCCCCCACACCCCCTCCCGCTCTAAAAATCAATGGAAAATATATCCTTGGGTGAGGATTAACAAAGAAAAAAGCATAGCCCAGAGGTTCAGACCATGGGCTCTGGCTCCCCATTGCCTGGGGCCGAGAGTGGCTTTGCTACTTACTAAATAGCTGACTTCTCAGTTTCCCATTTGTGAAAATACAGTGACTACTTTATAGGGTGGTAGTGACGCTGAAAATAAGTGTCAGCACACAGAACAGTGCCCGGTACAGAGTAAGCACTATGTATGTGTTAAATAAAAATGACGAGCCCCATTGGATGGGGGTTAGTCTGCCCATTTTGCAGGTGAGGAAACAGAATCAGCGATGTGTGTGGTGGCCTTGCCTGCGGTCCCATGTGTAGGACTGACCGAGGGAGGGATTCGAACCCACTTCCTGCCCCAGCCTGTGTTCTTCACTGTCCCAGTTTGCTGGGGTGACCGAGAGGGACATCTTTCCCAGCATTCCTCATGGCCGGCACTGTAGAGCCGTACCTGGCCATGTCAGACCAGACTCCCCGTGGCTAGTCTGGAAGACAGGCCGATGGCTTGCGAGGAGGTTGTATGAACTTGCCCTTGCCAGAGTGGGTGGGAGAGCCCAGCTGTGGCTGCGGGTCCTGCAGGAGCCAGCGTCAGGTGGGCCGTGTTCCCGCTGCTTGTGGTGTGACTTCCAGCAAGCCATTCTGCGCCTCTGAGCTGGAGTCGCAGAGAAGGGCTTGAAGGCAGGGGCCCAGGTTCAGATGTGAGCTTGCTGCTTCCTCTCTGTGATCTGGAGGCCGCTGTCAAACCTCTCTGAGCCTCGGTTTGCTTGTCAGTAAAATGGGTATATGGGGGGTGGTGTTCACAAGATAATTTTTATAGGCACCTTGCCTGTGGCTCGGTGATTGCAGTTTCTGTCCCATTTAGGACAGTCACCTCTCCATATCCTGGCACCCGGCTTCCTCATTCATTTCTTCTTCAAATGTGTACTGAGCACGTGCCTGTGCGGGCAGGTGCCAGGTGCTGCCGACAGAGCACCGGACCGTCCCTGCCCTCCTGAGCTTCAATTCCACTTGAGAAGACAGGCCCCACCTACACTCATGCTCACAGACCCCACCCTTATGTGTAATTCCTAAAGCCACGGGCTCGGAAAACCGCAAGTTTTTTCACAAAACTTCAGTCGGTTGCACGACCTGCTCTGAGCTCAGCTTGAGGCCACCGGGGCCTTTGTTTCTCCTCCTCGCTGAGCGAGTCCGTCCTGCAGGGATGTCCCTGTGGTGGGTCCCGGGGTGCTGCTCTGGACGCGCGCGCGCGCGCGCGCGTGTGTGTGTGTGTGTGTGTGTGTGTGTGGCGGGGGCAGGGATGCTTCTGTTGGCTGGCATTTTGTTCACGGCGGCCTTTGTATAATCGGAGGGATTCTGGCCCCAAGATTTTGCTGAGAGAACGTGGACCTGCGGTGTCCTGTTGGTAGTGACAGCACCCGAAGGAGCCGGGGAGCAGGTGACGCGGGCCATGGCCTCCCTGAGGAGGGACAGTAAAGACAGGGGCAGAGGCTGGAGTAGAGAGGCCTCATCCATTGCTCACCTGCTTCCGCTGCTGCTCGCCTGCGTGGGCCGCTGTCTCCTGCGTGTCTGTGCCTTTCCAAGAAGCGCGATGCCTCGGTTCAGCTTTGGCTCCGCCGACTCATTCTCGCCCTGGGCCTCCAGGGCCTCCTCGCCTCCAGGTGGCTTACGAAGTCCAGGGTCTTGGCTGAAGCAGGCCTGGGTGCTGGGACCTGCTGGGCCGGTCACCAGCCGGGTGTGTGGAGCAGGTTCCTGAGGGGAGGCTGTGTCGTTCTGAGCGGAGGACGTATGGAGGGACTAGCAGCCTCCAGCCCCAGGGCCGCTCACAGGCTGAAAGTGACGTGTCCTGAGGGCCAGCACCGGGCTCACGGCTCGCATTCACTCAGAGAACATGCCAGGCGCTGGGGACACGGCTCGCATTCACTCAGCGAACATGCCAGGTGCTGGGGACACGGCTCGCATTCACTCAGCGAACATGCCAGGCGCCGGGGACACGGCTCGCATTCACTCAGCGAACATGCCAGGCCCTGGGGACACGGCTCGCATTCACTCAGCGAACATGCCAGGCGCCGGGGACATGGCTCGCATTCGCTCAGCGAACATGCCAGGCGCTGGGGACACGGCTCGCATTCACTCAGCGAACATGCCAGGCGCCGGGGACACGGCTCGCATTCGCTCAGCGAACATGCCAGGCGCCGGGGACACGGCTCGCATTTGCTCAGCGAACATGCCAGGCGCCGGGCTCACGGCTCACATTCACTCAGCGAACATGCCAGGCGCCGGGGACACGGCTCCCATTCACTCAGCGAACATGCCAGGCCCT